AGCATCATACTAAATGGATAAAAACTGAAAGCTTTCACTCTAAAACCAGGAACAAAACAAGGCTGTCCACTGCCTCCACTTTTATTCAACATAGTCCTGGAAACTTTAGCTGCAGCAATTAGACAAGAGAAAGAAAGAAAAGGAATAAAAATAGGAAAGAAAAAGTTAAATTATCGATATTTGCAGATGACAGGATACTCTACTTAGAAGATCCCAAACACTCTGCCAAAAGACTACTAGATTTAAAAAGCAAATTCAGTAATGCAGCTGAATACAAAGTCAACACTCAAAAATCAATAGCCTTTTTTTTTTTTTTAACAAGAATAACTCACTGAGACAAATTAGGGAAACAGTACCTTTTACAACAGCATCCAAAAAAAAAAATGAAATACTTAGGAATCAAACTAACAAAGGATGTAAAAGATTTCTACATTGAAAACTACAGTACTCCAAACAAGGCAATTAAAGAGGATATTCCATGCTCTTGGGTAGGAAGAATGAACACACTGAAAATGCCCATGCTTTCAAAACTGTTACACAGATTCAATGCAATCTCAATCAAAATTCCAATAGCATATCTCACAGAAGTAGAGCAAACAATCCTAAAATTCATCTGGAACCAGAAGAGACCTAGAATAGCAAAGGCAATACTGGTCAACAATGACAAGACAGGGGGTATCACAATCCCTGACTTGAAGTTATACTATAAAGCTACTGTGATAAAAACAGTGTGGTACTGGGAATAAAAAAACAGACCTGAATATCAATGGAATAATTAGAAAATGCAGAAACAACCACAGACACAATAAACCACCTTCTCTTTGACAAAGGTGCAAAACACATTCACTGGAATAAATGTAAATGGTGCTGGAAAAACTGGCTCTACTCATGTTGAAGATTAAAACTGGACCCATCTCTTTCACCATGTACTAAGCTAAAATCAGAATGGATCAAAGATCTTAATATTAAAACAGAAATATTGAATCTGCTGGAAGATAGAGAAGGTAAAATCCTTGAAAATATTGGTGTAGGCAAAGACTTTATGAACAAAACCCAGTTTGCAAAGGAACTATCACAAAGAATCAACAAATGGGATCTCATCCTTTTAAAAAGCCTTTGCAAAAAAAAAAATAAATAAATAAATAAAAAAAAAGCCTTTGCACAGCAAGAGAAATCACCAACAGAGTGAAGAGACAACCTACAAGGTGGGAGAAAATGTTTGCCAGTTGTTCCTCAGACAAAGTGTTACTGTCGAGAACAAAATAAGTCAGTCCCAAATCAGTACCCAAAATAAATTAGTCCTCCCAGAGTTATAGACCCAATCGAAAAATGGGCATCTGAGATGAATACTCACTTCTCAGGTGAAGTAATACTAACTGCAAATAAATATGTGAAAAAATGTTCAACATCACTAGTCATTCCAGATACGCAAATGAAAACACTGAGATATGTGCTGGGCATATAGCTCAGTGCACAGTGCCCGACTGGCAAGTGTGCGATTCTGAATTTGAATCCCAGTTAAAAAAAAAAAAAAAAAAAAAGACATCAAAAACACTGAGATTCCACCTTACCCCAGAAAGAATGGCTAATATCAAGAAATCAAGCAATAACAAATGCTGGAGGGGCTGTGGGGGAAAAGGACCCTTCTTCACTGTTGGTGAGAATGCAGACTGTTGTAACCAAAACTAGACTAGAAGTCCCATTAGACCCAGCTATTCCCCTTCTGAGTATCTTCCCAAAGGAATTAAAAACATCATACCATGGTGATATATGTGTACTCATGTTTATAGCAGTACAATTTGTAAGAGCCAGATCTTGGAAATGATCTAAATGTTCATCAACTAAGCAATGGATAAAAAGGAGATGGTATTTTTATACAATGGTGTACTACTCAGCCATAAGGAAGGATAAATTTGAGATTATACTACTGATTTCTCTGAGTTCATTGGAGAGAAAGATTTATACTGGTACTGTTTGGACAACTGAATGAAAATGTCTTGTCTCTGGGTGAATGATAGGGGGATGACAATGTGCAATGCATGTACCATTGTTGCCCCTTGATTGATATATTTTGAAATTGTTTTATTTTGCTTTTTTTCTTTTTGAAATAAAAATGGATTTTTAAAAAACTGTCATCATATAGTGTACCATCCATGCAATTATTTTATCATAATGAGAAAAAAATCCTAGGTTCACAATACCCAAATAGAACAAAATATCAAGAAGCCATGAGTTTTTTTTCCTTTTCTTTTTAAAATTGATACAAAAAAGCATTACAACTGTACATATTAATAGGGTGACCCCCCTTTTTTTCATTGAACCCAGGGTCCTTTTTTTTTTGTTGCTGGGGATCGAAGTTGTGACCTCGCACTTGACAGGCAGGTGCTAAAGCCATTGAGCTAAATCCCCAGCCCAAAATCCAGGGTCTTTGCACTGAACTAAATCACCAGCCCTTTTTATACTGTCTACTTTAGAGACAGGTTCTTGCTAAGTTGCCCAGCCTGGTCTCATCCTCTTCCCTCAGCCTCCCAGAATGCTGGGCTTTCAGATATGTGCCACCACACCGTGTACACATGTATGACGGTCACATCAACTCCGATGTATCTATATCTTCAAACTTTATTTATTGATTTGCTTTTTTTTGGTGGTACAGGGGATCATACCCAGGATATTTATACTGTGCTATATTCCCCAGCCTTTAAATTTTTTTTTTATTTTGAAATAGTGTCTTGCTAAATTTCCCAGGCTGGGCTTTAATATGCAATCATCCTGCCTCAATCTCCCAAAGTACTTGGATTACAGACATGTCTTGCCTATATATTGTTCTTATACTGAGTTTTTCCTTTGTTATATTTTTCCATTTTTCGAGTTCTTTTAAAAATTCTTTTAAATGATAGGGTTTTTTAGTTTTATGTTCTTGTAGTGCTTGGGATCAAATCCTATGCCTTATGCATGCTAGGCAAGAGCTACATACCTAATACTGATTAGGTATGTAGCCTAGGTAATATCTAGGCTATTTGAAAGTACTTTTCTCTCCCTGGAGTTTGTTTTTCCTAAGTTGCTATTTCTAGTAATGTTTTTTGACTTATGATGAGAGTATGTAAACCTATAAACGTATGATAAATTAACAATATCCTGAGCTACGTGTGATGGCCGATGGCTATAATCTTGGGAGGCTGAGGCAGGAGGATCACCAGGAGTTCAAGGCCAGCCTGAATTACTTATTGAGACCTTGTCTCAAAATACAAAACAAAACAAAACAAAACAAAACAAAACAGACCCCCAAAACCAAACCAAACCAATCAAACAAACAAACAAATAAACAAACAAAAATATCCTAAATGAAAAAAGCATTTAATAAACCTTACCTACCAAACATCATAGCTTGGCAACCCAATACACTACAGACTATGGGCTGTTTACCTTTATGATCACATGGCTGATTGACAACTGCAGTTTGCTGCCAACACCAGCATCAAAAAACAGCATGCATATATATATATATATATATATATATATATATATATATATATATCATTATACTGCACATTGCTAGCATGGGAAAAAATGAAGATTCAAAATTCAAAATTAAGTATGTTTTCTGCTCAACAGGTATTGCTTTTACATCATCATAGTCAAAAATTTCTAAGTTGAACTGTGCAAGTTTGGAATCATCCATACTTGATTTGTTTTCTATCTTTCAGGATAGAGGCTTTTCTTTAGATTTCTGGCAATCCTCAGTCATTTCTTCACATTTAAGAGTCAAATCTAAAAGAGCTGATTGGAAGATCTAAGCATAAGACTGGAATATCATTCATAAACTTTAGTACAGCATGATCTAACTGCAGTCAGTTATACAGAAATTTTTTTTTTTTTTTTTTTTTTTTTTTTTGGCTTTTTCATTTTCATCGGTACCAGGGATCGAACTCACGACTGCCTGCTTTCAAGGCAGGCACTTATGCCGCTGCGCTAAATCCCCAGCCCTATACAGAAATTTTTAATGTAAATAAATTTAGTTTTTTTCCTTCGGTGGTCAGATATCAAGGAAGGCTCTTTTAAACTTCCGAAGACTTTACGCCAGGTCAGCAAAGTGCATGGGGTGAAGACAGAGTACATGGCCAATATTCATACATTTCTCAACTTTCTTGATTTCTATTATGATACTTCTTCCTTCCATCTGTCTGTCTTCTATTACTCACTCTTCATAAAGAGTAAAGGGAGATCCTCTCTTTAAAGTTTCTCCTAAAGCTGGATTTACACCAGAAGCAGAAGTCAGCTAAAGCAGTCTGGGCAACAAACTGAGACTTCATCTCAAAAAAAAAAAACAGGCTGGGGATTTAGCTGAAGTGCCTGCCTGGCAAGCATGAGGCCGTGAGTTTGATCCCTAGCACCAAACATGAGCACACACACACACACACACACACACACACACACACACACACAAACAGGGGCTGGGGATTTCGCTCAGTGAGTTCGATCCCTGGTACTGGTAAAAATACAAAAAAAAAAAAAAAAAAAAAAAAGACAAAAAGAAAGAAAGAAGATTGTATCTTTAAAAAAAAAAGATTTCCTACAATTTGTTGAGAAGCTTGTCCTCAAAAGCACAGTGTGGTTCATATAACCATTCCTCCTAGGCCCTCTGCCCCCTTCAGGGCCGCTCTGGGGTTCTGAGAAAGGAGAAGGTGACACTTAGGCAATGATGCAGTGTCATTCCAACATTACCAAAGGCTTTCCTCATCAAGTAGGATACCGAAGGAACAGGGCAGCTTCTCCTAAGACCACAACAGTCACTAGTATGAGGAGAGTGCTGGAAATGCTTTGAGAGAACATGTCATTATGGGAGCAAAACTAGGACCTCAAGGGAACTAGGTATTACTCCTTTTTTCCTTTTCCTTTTCTTCTTTTCTCCAAGGTGAGCCCTTTCCTGAGCTGGGCTGGCCTCTAAGCCTCCTATGGAGTAGCAGGAATCTTGTCTCAAGAGAGTGCAAGGTGAAACATACCCTTCCTCCACAGTGACTGAGTTCATGAGAAGGCAATTGGTAACAGTCACCCGATCTTTTATGAGACAGGAGGAACCAATGACTGAGCGCTTAATCGATGTCTTCTCTCCAATTTGTGTATCTGGTCCAATGAGGCTATCCACGCTAATCTGTGAAAGACAAGTAAAAAACTTTGTCTATATATCCCAAAGAACTGTAAATCATACCCAGATCCCTTGAGCTGGGGAATATTTCCATAAAGATATTTCAGGAAAAAGGACCGTCATTAGTATTTCTCAGGCTAAAAGTTCACACCACCCCGAGACCAACTTGAACCTAGTGAAGCATGGGTCTCCCTTTCCAAGAAAACAAAGAAAATAAAATCAAATGGTCACATGTTTATACAGCCATGCATAGGATGTACAGATATCTACTCATGAAGACAGTGCTCAAATTGGGGTGGAAGGACAGATTAAACATTTCTGTATCTCAGCCCAAAATTAAATGAACCCTCCCTTAGAGTTGGTGTCTTCCCAGGAAATCTTGAGTGAGATTTTATTACCAGACCTAGATGGGATTTCTGTAGGGCTAAGGAGGCACAGGCCTCGAGGACATAAATCAGTGTCCTCCAGAAACTGTCCTATGATGACCCCACTTATGCTAACTACAACTTACCAGGTGTTTGTTGGCAATCTGGGCTGATGCATGGACTAGTGATTCTTCTGGACAAACAACAGACAGCAATTTGGGCACCTTGAAGAAAGAGATTCAGTCAATGAAGACCAGAAAAATACCTAAAAACACCTTTGGTAGAACTGTGCGAAGTTTTCAGGCATAGCTTTTTCTCTGTGAGGGAGAATGAGGCTGCTGCATGTCTGGCAGGATCTGGATCATGCATGTAGCAGCTTCTGGATGGCGCTATCCTGAGTCTCTCAGCTGACAGTGCTCTTTTGTGAAAGCCAAGTCAGGTATCACAGGTGGGAAGACAAACCTTGGAGGTACTGGGAATTGGTACTGGGAATTGCTTGCCAGGTAGGTACTATGCCATTGAGCTAAATCCCTGAACCCAAGCAGCACTTCTTGAGAAAGTGGGCCTGATGGGGACAAGGAACACCATGTATGCTGCGTCTAGGTTCCTGCTCAGCTCCTGGACTACTCTGGCTATGCATGAAGTGAGGATAGAGAAACGTTAACAAAAATTCCACATCAAGACTGATCACTGATCCTGGTAAGAAACCCATGTTTTTTGTCAGACAAAAGAAAACATGAAGGGGAAGTCATACTATTCATACTAAGACTAGGTGTACGGACTTTGCTACTGACCTATTAGGAAGGTACAGGTGGTGTACCCTATGTTTCTCCACAATAGGCAGAATATAGGTTAGAGCACTGCGTATGGTGGCACATGAAAGTTAAACTGGCACATGGAAGCTAATCCTCCAGGCCCTGGTTCCAGGATCTCTTCTGTTATACTCCAACTGTTGTGGCTTGAATCTACATGCCCCCCAAGGCCTCATGGGCTCATAGGTAGGGCTTTTCAGAGATGGCTGGATCTAGGATGCATGGTACTAGGACTAATGGTGCATGGTACTAAATCAGTCCACTAGTTAGAATTAGCATAGTTCTGAATGTGGCTGAACAGATTTACTAAAGATAGACACCCCACCTTGAGTGTGAATGGCACCACCCAAAAGGCTTTTAGGGCTGGGGATGCAGCTTAGTGGCATAAGCGCCTACCTGGCAAGTGCAAGATCCTGAGTTTGATTTCTAGTACCAAAAACAAAAACAGACACAAAAACAAAACCCCAAAATGTTTGTAGCCTGGATGGAATAAAAGGGAAAGGAAGGTTTGCTGCTTTTTTGCTGCCTTCTGCTTGCCACACCATGGACTGTTTCCTCTCTGTGATGCCTCCCTGCTATGCCATCCTGCCTTGGAACCAGTTGACTATGGACAGAAACCTACAAACTGTAAGTTAAATAAACCTTTTCCTCTTTACCTGTGGGTGTCAGTCACTGTGTCTCAATGACAAGAAAAGTAACTAATACATGAACCATGGCTCTTTAGCATTGTCTGCTGCCACAGACCCCGCTGGCATTTCAGAAGACACTTTTCCAGCCTTACGCTATCTATAAAACCTGCTTCCAGGTCAGCCTGACAGACTAGTCCTGGATAAACATAACTGTGTTTCTCATAGCTCTCTGGCTTGAGATTCCCTTTGACTTATAACCAGTTCACGTTGAGACCAACCTGAGGTCTGGAGATGAGGCTATACCCACTCTTTGGTGAGGCTTCTAAAGATTGCAGAGTCAGGCTTTCCTCAGGGACATCTCTATTTTTAATAATATTCTTGTGCCTAACTCAGTCTGTACCTGCCAAGACAGTTTTCATAGAGTTTAACAAGGAATAATGCTTTTAGTCGATATTTTTTATAATCTCATTCCTATCATCCTTCAATGGCATCCAATGTAGTTCCCTCAATTCTTTTCCTAATCTTGCCTCAATCCTTTTCTTCTCCGTATTTTGTCTCCTAGTTTTATCATTCCTCCATCCTAAACCTTCCTCCTATGCTCACTTCATAATAAAGAGCTCACCTACACCCTCCATGTCTTTACTGTTCCTCTTTTTACACCCTGCCTTTACTGGCTGCTTGACTCAGAGGGCACTGCATCCCTTTGAGTGGAAGTTATTAACTCTGTATCTCATAGACTACAGGGATAGAAAGATGGTCAAGACCCCTAATAGTGTGATTCTCAGTCTCACAAACAATCCTTCCTCAAGGTGTTGCCATCTAGTTACTCTGTTCCTCTATCTGTTTCTACCACCCTTTCATTTTTCTAATCGGGGTTTCACTATGTAGTCTAGGCTGCACTGGAATGCAGGCTGGCCTCATGTGTGTGCCACCATCCTCAATTCTCCTTCATTTTCTGTTTTTTGAGACTATATAGTTCAGATTGGGCTTGAACTTATAGAAATCCTCTTGCCTTAGCCTCCTGAGTGCTGAGATTATAGTGCTACAACACCTGATCTCCTTTACTTTTTTTGAACCAGGAATTGAACTCAGGACCTTGCACTTGCAGGCAGGTGCCAGGCTGCTGAGCTGTATCCCTGGTGCTTCTTTGCTTTCTTAAGAAAGCCTTCTGTGTCTATGTTTACCTCAGCAAAGTAATGATTATACAGTATTTATGTTTGTTGATGAAGTAAATATTGTAGATATAGTAGTCCCATGCTGGACAGAATAGGAGATAGCTGCTGACGCCAGAGGCCAGAAGTTAGCCTTTCTAGAGATCTAAGCCTTTTCTTGGAGCCTCAAAAGCCCAGGCCTTCTACTTCCCCTTTTACAGCACCAGAGTATTCCAATGACCACTCCTGATATTCCAAGTCATGCTCAGCCTTGGGAATGAGAGAGATTCCAAATAAGTTATTGTGTACCCAATTCATAAAATAAGGAAGGAAGAAATAAGACCACAAAGGCTCAGTCCATTTCTAGGGCAGGAGCTCTAGATTTTGTTTTTGTTTTTTAAATCCATCTTCTCACCTGTCTGTTTGCTTCCATGTAGAGTCCCAATGTGCTCACTCGAGAGCAGAGACCCTCTTTCATGATGTGCACATAGCAGCGTATCCGTGATCTGGACAAGTCTTCCCATCTATCTCTGCGACAGGCATTCCAGCAGGTGTCATAGGGGGCTGGGGTGAGGGTATCGGCTTCTTTTATAAAGCTGTAAATATCTTTAGAACAAACACAAAAACTAAGTAAGCAAATGAGAGACAGACAGAGAGAGAGAGAGACAGACAGACAGAGACAGAGAGATGACAAAGAAGATACAGACTCAGGCAATATTTCAAAAAGGATATATCCAGTACTTCACCCTGAAACTCATCTGTGAAGCTCTTCCTGGGGAAATTCCATTATAATTGGGAAGAATAAGTCAAATGGAAAGAGTCAGTGTATTTTTCTGTATTACATAAAATGCTAAATAAGGGCTCTAAAAGCAAGTTTGGTTAGTAAGTATGGCTAAGGAAAATAGAATAAATGATGCTTGCAAATTGTGAAAAAAATACAAGCTCAGGCTTTACTGATCAGTCATGCCTGCTTTGTGCAGCTCATCTCTGTTACTGCAATCAGCAGCTGTGCAATGAGAAAAAGAGAACACAACCTGCCTGGCCTCCAGTTTTGAAACTCTTATAACAATCCTTTTAATATTTTAGTTTATGACAAGAAAGCAGACAAATTTTGAATAACCTATCTTAGGTCACAGAGATAATAAGAGACAGATCAGAACCAGGTTGTCTGAGGCTGAGCTCTATAATCTATTTTTTTTTTTTTTGAACTGGGGTTCAAACATACAACCTCACACTTGGCAGGCAGGTGCTTGTGCCATTGGGCTAAATCCCCAGCCCCAATTTTTTTTTTTTACAAAGTTTATTTGAAAATGTATAAGTCAAGAAGGAGAAACTGGCTCTGCAGAGTGAGGAAAAAGCAAGATATAAGAACACTCTTATACGCAAGGTGGGCTATCATGAGGAAAGACAAACTGCCCAAGTCCTGTAATTTTAACCAATATTCTATACTGTCTCAGTTTACTTGTTTGGTAAATACTTTTCTCAGAGGATAAACAAACACAGAAGTGGGCCATCGACTAGGAATATGAGAGCAAACAAGATAAATCTCATTTCCAGATCTTGGAATAGAGACAGTTTAGTTCATCTCTGGTTGGACTAAAATTACATACTTCTTCACCTGCCTTCCCTTGATGGAAGAGGCTGAGTTTAATCAGAAGGTGGTCTGCTCAGAGCCTGAAGAACCAGGGAGGAGAGACAGACATATGAACAAGACAATGGGGTTGGAAGCATGTCTAGCTTATCCCTGAAGAGCACAGTGGTGGAATCTGCCTGAGTAAGCTTGCCCAGAACTCAGGAGTGGCATCAGCTAGTTTGTCTTGCCTCATAGACTACAAAAACAATTCTGTGTTAAGACAGGCATTCTGTGATACCAAGGATACAGCAACAAAAAAAAGGAAACTACAGAATAGCCCAATATCCTTAATGAACACAGATGCAAAAATCCTTAAAAAATACTTTTTAACTGAATTCAACAACACATTAGAAAGATTATATTCCACAGGGAAAAGAAAAAGACTGGTCTCTTGGGCTGGGCTAAGCTGTTGACCCAGGCTCTCTCAAGATGCTCCTACTCTTGCCCCTCTTAGCACACCAAACCTGAGCACTGACCTAAGAATTTTGATTCCTTTTTCTTTAGATCCTCCTCTTTTTCTTCTTGCCCCAGTTGTGAGGAAACGGAGGAAAACTGTTTTCTTACTAGGTATGGAATCAGCTCACTGCGGATAGAAGTGATTGATCTAGGAAGAAAGAGATACCAAATATGAGACACTTGAGTAGAACATATTGGGATCAAAAACTGCGCAGGCCAGCACGACGAGCCAAATTCTGTCCTCCCACCCTGAATTGAGAGAGATTAAGTGTGGAATGAATTGGCATTTCTGGATAAGGAGATCTGAGCTCTCTTTATCAGCTTCAGGCTGGGAGTAGTATACTGAATCTGAGAATCTCTCCTTCTAGAAAGGCTCTTTTGTTTTATTATTTACAATAATGACTGCTCTCTAAGTTCACTGGAGATCCTCTTTATTAGGTTAAGGATATTCTTATTCTTATTATTTTTTTTTAGGTTAAGGAAGTTCTTTTATTTCTAACTTGCTAAAACTCTACAAATGGGGGCCAGGGATTTAGCTCAATGGTATAAGCACCTGCCTGGCAAGCACGAGGTTGTGAGTTTGATCCCTAGTACAAAAAAAAAAAAAAATCTACAAATGAATACCAATTTTTTTTAAAAAAAGTGATGTGATCAGTTTTATTTCTAGCTAGCAAGGAAGAAGGCCTGAGACAGACACGGCTAGAAAAATCAGCCTTCACTCTGAGAGATGAGATAATGAGTCCATAAACCAGACCATGCTACACAATGCCACCCCTCCTACAGCCCTCAGAGCCACTCAGTCACTAACCAAGGACCACACAGACAGAAGGTAGGAAGGTGAGGCAGAGGCTAAGGAGGGGAGGGAACCCCGAGGCTATTCCATTCATGGTTTCTGTTATTTTTGAAGGATCAAGCCAAACATCTTTGAAAAATTCTATGTAAGCTGGGAATTCTTGTAATGAATTTTAATGTGATTTTTCTCTTGATCCTTTGATGGAGATTAAAAATTTCCATATGAATACAAACAATGAAAGAACACTGATTCTTAGCTTTTTTCTCCGCTTTTAATGCTCCAAGCCAGTGTAGATGGCAAATGTTCTTTTGCTTCTCTCCACTGGAAAATAAGTCAATTAGTTCCTTTTTTGAGGAAGGGACAAAGAACAGGCAGCTGAGGGATTTCAGAACCATAGTATTTGCATTATGGACCAAAACAGAATGAACTGTCACGGCAAGAGGCAAGTGAACGAGGGTTGGCACACAGACAGACCAGTCAGTGGAAACTCAAGAACATCAGTGATTTGGACAGAAGATATGAAACCATTCTGCCAGGTCCCGCCTACTTCTGCTAGAGCTTAGTATTAGGTCAATTCCCACAATGCAGATGACCTAGCAACCCAGTAAATGACAGAATTACTCTTCCTGCTTTCTAGTCAGAGTGGAGGCAACTCAAAGCTGTGCCAAGAAGTCATATAAGGCTACTTATAAAGCTGGGCTTGGTGGAGCACAACTGTAATCTGAGCAGTTGGGAGCCTGAGGCACAAGGAACAGCGTGAGTTCGAGGCCAGTCTGGGGTACACAGTGAGTTCAAGGTCAGCCTGAATTACAGAGTGAGATCCTGACTAAAAACCAAACCAATCCAAAAACAAATAAACAAAACAAAAGGATATAACTCAAAAGGCCCTGGGTTCAATCCCCAGTACTGTATCTACCCTCTGAAAAAGCAAGCAACTGTGAATCTTTGTGAACATCCTGATCTTGGGCCTGAAGGCTACCCCACCCCAGCTAATCTTTCTTCATTCTTATTCTGTTTCTTACTCTCTCTCTGCAGTGCCAGGTTTGGAACCCAGGGGCCTCACAAAGATGAAGTATTCTCCCCTCTTCTACAGCCTTCTCAGAAACATTTCATATCATGAGATTACTGTAAAAGTTCCTTTCAAAAATCACAAATAAGTACAAATCTACCAAAACAAAACCCATTAATCTGTATAACCAATATGCATTAATAAAAAAAAGATGTCAATAAAAGGAAAAAATTACAAAAGAGAATAACAGCTTTGACTATTGGCTGTAAACAACAATTCCACTGTTATGGTTTATGTTAGATAGACCCCCAAGTCTCATGCAATCATGGATGAGGCTGAATCTAGTGTTCATGACGGGTTCACTGTCTGGCACTGGGTTTGGTGGTATGAGTGCTATACCTGCCCAGGGGTGAAGTCAGCATACAATGTAAGGGCAGGAAGAAGGTCTGCCTTTCTCTCTTTTTGGCTGTTCCTGCTTACTGCTTGTGGTCACCATGAAGTGCTGCTCCTCAGTCATGTAATTTTGCCTTGGAACCAACTGAGTATGAACTGAAACCTCCAGTCTGTAAGAAATAAACCTTGCCTTGGGACTGGGAATATAGTTCAGCAGCATAAGTGCCTGGCTGGCAAGCACGAGGTTGTGAGTTTGATTCCTGGAAAAAAAAAATCTTCAGTCTTCCCTTTCCTAACTTTGGGTGTCAGGTATTTTGTCTCAACGAGAGAGCAAAGTAACTAAGACATTCACCAAAATGAAAAGACAAATTAATTGCTATAGGACAAAGGAGTAACATTTTTCACAGAAAAATATATATTCCTAAAACATGTATAATATTTTCAAAGAAATAAAAATGAACATAAAATGCAATTTCTATTCCAATTAAATTAGCAAATATAACACAAATTGTCTTTCTAGTAGAAATACTTTGAGAACAGTGACTCTCATGCAATCATGGATGAGGCTGAATCTAGTGTTCATGACTGGTTCACTGTCTGGCACTGGGTTTGGTGGTATGAGTGCTATACCTGCCAAGAGGGAGCCAAGAGGGTAAAATTGTTTCCTAAGAGTAATTGTGGTGGTGTGTGAGGTGGCACATGCCTGTAATCCCAGCACTCAGGAGGGTGAGCAGGAGGATAACTAAGAGTTCAAGGCCAGCTTAGACTACAGAGCAAGACCTTATGTGAACAAACACAAAAACAAGAGTAACTGGCAATACACAGCAAAAGACTTGAAGATATATGTATTAGTTCATTCTGTATTTCTGTTTCTGTAAATACATTCCAAGGAAAATCCATTATGTTCAATAAATATCTGTTGAATAAACAAAATAATGAGATTTTAAAAAATCTTTAAGAAGGTGCTCCTCTAATGTTATTTACAAATAAAAAACCAAAATTAGGATGATATTATTACTAATCATCATCATCATCATCAAATTGAGAATAGTGGTTCATGCCTTTTAATCCCAATGCTGGGAAACTGAGGTAGGAGAATTGCAAGTTTGAACCTAGCCTGGGCAATTTAGGCACTTACTGATACTTTGCCTCAAAATAAAACAATAAAAATATCTGGGATCATATCTCAGTGTGAAGATCCTGTGTTCAATTCCCAGTACTACAAAAGCAAACAAACAAAACCAAAACCAAAACTAAAGCAAAAATTGGGTGTACATCTATAATCCCAGCATTTGGGAGGTTGAGGAATGAAGATCACTGCAAATTTGAGACCAGCCAGAACTGCACTAAAAACTCTGTATCAAAAAGATCAAATAAATAAATGAGCAAACAACAAAACCCAAACAAAAAACCTAAAACAAAAACAAAAACCACCTATAAAACAGAATATCACACAGATGAAACTGTTATTGCAGACCTTTTTTCTTTTTTTTTTTTTTGTCTTTTTCTTTTTTTATCAGTACCAGGGATTGAAAGTTTTTTTTTTTTTGTTTGTTTGTTTTTTTTTTTTTGACACAAGATCTTGCTATATAGTCCAGGCTGATAATGAACTCTCAGGAATCCTCCTGCTTCAGCCTCTGAGTGCTGTGATTAGAGGTGTGTACCAGCATATCCAGTCTATAAACAATATCCTGATAATACAGGAAAATGAAATAGTCCTAAATGAAGAAAGCAGAATATTATTTTTAGCTTGGGCAATTTAGCAAGACCTCGTCTCAAAATAAAAAAAGGTTAGTGATGTAACTGAATGTGAAGGCCCTGGGTTCAGTCAGTCCTCAGTATCACAAAAAGCAAAACCAAACAAAATAAGAATAAAGAAAGGGAAACTAAAAAACTACTCTAGTTTAATTTGTCTGGCAATAATCTGGCAGCAATAGCACCTTTAAATATTCATATACAGCCAACAAATAACAGGTGAGGAGATTCGTCTTTTTTTTTTTTTGGTACCAGGGATCTAACTCAAGACCTTGCACTTGTCAGGCAGACACTTATCCCACTAAACTAAACTCTGGCCCAGGTGAAGAGATTTGTAAATCACACTCTCTTGGCTTAATTTTGTTAGAGTAGAGGAACCATCATACAATTTCTAGGACATTTAAGGACTAAGGACAGGAAACTAAGTACAGCCAAGTCATATGGATGCCAGAACTGAACAGTAGGCAACAATTGCCTATCTCTTAGGGTATTACACAGTTCTTCATCTCTTATTTCCTATTTTGTTTTCCCATGCTATTCACAGCCTTCTAGCTCTTCCATAATGTCAGCTTGCAGGGTTTTAATTATCACCATGATTCTGACCTTGTTGCATGGCTGCCTACTCTCCACTCTTGACCTCATATGAGGGACCTAATCTTCGTCCTCTGCATTCCTATCTAGCTGAGGCTTGATTGCTGTGCCTGCTCTCCTACCTCACAGATGTGTGTGTACATATTTGGAATACAGATATGGCTAAGCAATCAGTTCATCAACAGTGACTAATTCTCTTGAGACTTTGGCTATATAATGTTGAACAAATGACTTTTTTTGTAGTGCTGGGACTGGAATTTAGGGCTTTGCTCTACTATTAAACTATACTCTTAACTGAACAAATGACTCTTGAGCCTCATTTTTTTCTCCTTAATATAAGGATAATACCTAATCAAGTAACGTTTTTCTTTTTATTTTGGAATTGAGGATTGAGTTAAGAACTGCACATTGAGTTATATATATGTCCCCTTTTCTATTCTGAGAGAGTCTTACCAAGTTACCCAGGCTGGCTTTGAATTTGTGACCCTCTTGCTTTAACCTTCCAAATAGCTGGGATTACGGGTGTCCACCACCATGCCTGGTTGAGAGAACTTTTTTCTCAGTACTGAGGATTGAAACCAGGGCCTTCATTCTGAACTATGTTCAT